GGTCACACGTCGCACAGGTTTCTGGGAACAGTGTACGTTCCCGAGGTAAACTGGACCCTGATGGTCGCCTGCTTGCTGATAACAGCGGGTTTCCGGGAGACACAGCAGATCGGAAATGCATACGGTAAGCTTTTAAATGTAATCTCTAGTTTAACAGTTTTTTTGTCACCATTGTGCTCTCGCAGGTGTGGCAGTCGTGCTCGTCATGGTCGTGACAACGTTTTTGTTGGCTATGGTTATGATTCTTATATGGCACAGCAACCTCTACTTGGCCTTCTCCTTCCTGGCGGTGTTTGGCTCGCTTGAGTTGCTCTACTTTTCATCGGTTTTGTTCAAGGTGATGAGCGGGGGATGGGTTCCTCTGGCAATAGGCTCGGTTCTCATGGCAGTCATGTACTTCTGGCACTACGGCTCTTGCGAGAGGCACAAGTTTGAGCTCCAGAACAAGGTGTCCCTTGGATGGATCCTCCAGCTCGGCCCAAGCCTCGGGATGGTGAGGCTGCCAGGAATCGGCCTGTTCTACACCGAGCTAGCTCACGGGGTTCCATCGATCTTCTCGCACTTCCTCACGCACTTTCCAGCGGTCCATTCCATCCTCACCTTCGTGTGCGTCAAGTATCTCCCGGTGAGCACCGTCGCCAAAGAAGAGAGGTTCCTTCTGAGGAGGATCGGTCCCAAGCAGTTTCGGATGTACCGCTGCGTGGTGAGGTACGGCTACAAGGATCTCCACAAGAAGGACGACCACTTCGACGAGCTTCTCATCCGCGCACTGGCCGCCTTCATTCGCTACGAGTCGCTCATGGAGAGCGTGGACGAGCAGTCGGAAGAGACCGTGACGAGCAACGGGTCCCTGGAAAGCTGCGGCGCGGCTCCTCCACTGCAAGCACAGGTGGACGGGCACACCATCACTGGCAGTGAGATTTGCTTGACAGCGTCAAGCGTCTCCTCGATCCAGCGGCAAACTCCAAGGAGCTTGAGAGAGGAGGAGGACGAGTGCGCGTTTCTAATCAAGTGCAAGGAAGATGGGATCGTTCACATAATGGGGAGCACTGTGATGCGAGCAAGGCAAGGGTCGGGCTTCTTCAAGCGGCATGCCATCAACTCGGGGTATAGTTTCCTGCGGAAGCTGTGCAGGGACACGAGTGTGATATACCATGTACCTCACGAGAGCCTCCTTCACGTAGGGATGGTTTATAACATTTGATATGTGGCTAAAGTCACCTTTCGTTTTTGTAGAAGTTACTTCTTTAACTTAT